TAAGATTAAAGGCGTGTCGTCTCTCAACATTCGTCAATTATAGTTTTGTTGACTCAATTAATCCAGAAGTCAATTGGTCGAGTTTCGTAAACGACGCATTTGAGGTGACCCCCCACGGGAAAAAGAAGAAAATAGACATCAGTCATGATTATAGATTAAAAATATTAAGTTTAACACGTAGGCTGTCGCGACCAATGTTATCCGTAATTGACAACATTTATAATTCACAACATTTACAATTAGTAAGGTGTGTCACGTAAACAGAACATGCCAATTCGTTACTTGTACAGCAACACCGGTGTGGTGGTTTACATTTGTTGTGGGTTTACAGTGGTAAATGTTGTGGGTTTACAGTGGTAAATTTTGTGGGTTTACAGTGGTAAATGTTGTGGGTTTACATTGGAAAATGTTGTGGGTTTACAGTGGTAAATGTTGTGGGTTTACAGTGGTAAATTTTGTGGGTTTACAGTGGTAAATGTTGTGGGTTTACATTGTTAAATGTTGTGGGTTTACAGTCGTAAATGTTGTGGGTTTACAGTGGTAAATGTTGTGGGTTTACAGTGCTAAATGTTGTGGGTTTACAGTGGTAAATGTTGTGAGTTTACATTGGTAAATGTTTTGTGTTTACAGTGGTAAATGTTGTGGGTTTACAGTGGTAAATGTTGTGGGTTTACAGTGGTAAATGTTGTGGGTTTACAGTGGTAAATGTTGTGGGTTTACAGTGGTAAATGTTGTGGGTTTACAGTGGTAAATGTTGTGGGTTTACAGTGGTAAATGTTGTGGGTTTACAGTGGTAAATGTTGTGGGTTTACTCTCGAACCCACCGGTGTTGCTGTACTAGTAACGTATTGGCGGGTTCTGTGTACGTGACAAACCTCACTAATTGGCAGTGTCGGGTGGTGGCGGGTTTAACGACACATCTACATTTACGCGATCTAACCCTCCAAAAAAAAACTATATTGTGAATTTTACTTTTTTACTTAAAACATTAAACGATTCTACTTCGTCAATTTTCATTATTTCAGTCAGCGAAAGGGGGGGGGGGGTCCGTTACCCCTAACGCGTGAAAATCGGTCGCGACTTCGTTTAATTTTCGAAACGTCTCGCAGGCTTCACCCAGAAAACCCCGCACCCACTGGGAAGGGGAGGCGCAGAGTGAGCGGTGAAAACGGGGAATCTTTACTCCCGTGACTTTAACCAATGAGCATGGATTCCTGCAGGCACGGAAGCTTCAAATCACGGGGAATCTTGTTTTGCTCGCCAAGTGCCCTACGTGCGTGCGTGCAGTATTTAAGTACCCCCTCCCCCCGTTGCGTAAAACCCCAGCGAACAATGTGCGCGAGCGCCACGTAACTGCACGGACCAAACGCGCTGATGAACACAATGGCAAGCTACATTATGAGACCTCCTTTGCCAGTAACAAGATATAGGAATAGGTTTTACCCTTTTAGCTGGCACAAAAACTGACACCTTTATTCAAGGCATCATGTTTGCAATAACCACAACACAAGCAGTCAAAATGCGAGCAAAAGAGACAACTCTGATAATAATATGCACTGTCCTTGAATTTGATTGGTCCACACCCGAGACAGCTTTTCTTAGAGCCTAGTCTCCATTAACTGTGCCAGTTAAAAGGGTAAAACCTATTCCTATACAATGGCAAGCTGTGTAATAGGTGACGTTTCGGGCAATGCCTCTTCTGCGTAGCGCACGTGCACACAGGCCAGAGAGGCGCTGTGTTTACTGTGCGTGTACGTAGTATGTGTATGCATGCGTACAATGGTGTCACCGTTACGTAATGCACAGCGTGTACGCGTGGTGTACAACTATAAATGCATCATCTGTGTATACAGGGTCTGCAAAGAGCCAACGTATTTTTTAATCTGTATTATATACGATGCATAACTTTGAAAATGTACATCGTATGGTACAGCGACACCCCAGCTAGCCCGATTTCGCTCTTAGCCAGACAAAGGTGGGATATTTATTTTAAACCCATCTGAAATGCACGTATATATAAAATGCAAGCATGTTACGTAACAAAAATATTACAATAAATTACATGATATATACAATGCCTTGGAATGTGCTGCGCGTGTGATATAGAATGTTAAATGAGACGCGCAAGAACATGCAGGATAATGTGGAAAAGACGTCGTGTTCTCCAGGAACGTATCACCGTGTTACATTTACCGTGTTGAATTTGCGTGTTACCGTGTTGAATTTACCGGGTTAAATTTACGTGTTACCGTGTTACATTTACTGTTTTCAATTTACCGTGTTGAATGTACCGTGTTGAATGTACTGTGTTAAATGTACCGTGTTGAATATACCGTGTTAAATTTATCGTGTTGAATGTACCGTGTTGAATGTACCGTGTTGAATTTATCGTGTTGAATGTACTGTGTTAAATGTACCGTGTTGAATATACCGTGTTAAATTTATCGTGTTGAATGTACCGTGTTGAATGTGCGTTTAACCGTGTTACATTTACGGTACACATATATACTGTATTCGTAGACTGCGTGCGCGCGCAGGGTATGTAGTATGTAGTATATATGTAGTATGTAGTATATATGTAGTATGCATGTAGTATGCATGTAGTATGATTGTAGTATGGCCATTGGCGTAGTGGCCACGTGATCACCTCTGTGGGTGCGGTAATCGGCCAGGCTGGGGTCCCCAGCATTGTGATCAGCCTCGCACGGCCGCACCGAGACTTATTGTGCATGTCGCTGCTCCTGTCGCCCTAGTCGCATCGCTACAGAAGGGGTCGTTGTTCTTGTTTACGCTTTGTTGTGGAAAGCGAATCTCATGGTGGTTGACAAGGTGGGGGTGGGGGACCCAACTCGTAGCTTTGGCTAATAAGGATGGTATACTATGCGTGTATACCAATTAATCAGAATCAGAATATGTATTTATACTGGAGGAATCCGATGAGCTATAAAGCTCTTTATCACAGATGTCCAGTGGGGGGGGGGGGGGGGGGTTAAGAACGTTACATCCAGCAGTGGATCGATCCTGGCTTTTGACGAATGCTATGCAAACACGTGTGGTTGATACAATGTTCTAACGAGGTCTGTACCGCACGATGCTGCTGCGTTGGCAGTGATGCACAAACAACAACACTCGTCAATAATACTGTGGCGGCCTTCAATATATATTAGGCGACGTTTCAGCCAATGACCCTTCTAAATAGCAAATAACGTGCACGGAATTGGACGAATGTGTTGCGTTGTTTGTGTCAATATACACATTGTGTCATACTGCACGCATATAATATGGTATATCAGTATTGTTTATGTATACAGTATATAGCATATCGGTAGTGTGTATTTATATTACACAATCTGTACATTATGTGTACACAAGATCAATGACGATTATCTGCACCGGTCCAGAGTCTCTTCTATTTTCGACTCAGCCTAAAATAAGTACCTGGTGCAGTGTGTAGTAAAAAAAAACATCAGCACTTTGAAGGGAGACAAAGGCGGCCGGGCGTGGCCTTTGTCCACCACCCACCCCCTCGCGTGCCTGCTACTCGCGACCGAGCGAACTTCCCCGCAAGAGTCCCGCTCAGGACTACGATCGGTCCATCGGGGCGCCGCGGTGTCGAGATGTCATCTCCCTCGCCCGGTATGCAGGAGGTCGTCGGTTCAACACCGCGACCCTGATGCCTGCTCTGTACGTTCTCCACGTGGTTTGCGTGGAGTTTTATTTTCCAACGGGCCCCTCCCGTTTTGGTCCCCCCCCCCCTCCACGTTAAGGAATCAACAATGCTATTTAATTGTCCACGTGATGACGATGTCGCCACTTCGTTGAGCTCATCAATCGTGGGCAGGGCCGCTCCTTAAAAAATAAATCGAACAGCTCAGTGGGCTTTACACTGAAGTATTGTAGCGTTGTATTAAGGGAGCGGATTATTAAGCAAATGCGCCGTTTAATCGCGTGCCTATTCAGGTTATGATGTGTTGATTAATTGTGACTAATCCAACCGGTAAATGTAATTTTATCATCTCATGTGAACATAATCCGTTGCATTTTGATGAACTGTGACGGACACAACCGATACAAATACTTTTTCACACTTCTGGCAAACCGCCTGATGAAGCTGGCGGCTGTAATCACCGGAGAAAAGTCACAGTACTCGAATGGTAAATGTTGTGGGGTTTTTCTCTCCAACACACAGCCGATGTGCTGATGCAGTCACTAATTGGGCAAGGTTTAACTCTTTGGTTTTTTCGGTAAAGTCACGATTAAATAAGAAATAATAAAATGACATAATAAATAACATAATTATTTCTTATTTATACGTGACTTGACCGAAAAAAAAACAAAGAGTAATTCCTGCAGTCACGAAAGCTTCGAACCAAGTCTTGGGCAAGGTTTGTTTACGTGACAAATCTTACTATTGTATTTATTTTACCAGGTAAGGCCCGCTGAGCTATGTAGATTTTTTTTCCAGAAGCGAGCTGGCCACAAATGAAAGTTCAGCGAAGTGGCTTATCGTGTGGAAATGTAAAGCAGCCAATTACTCTAAACGCGCGATGTTGATTCTCAATGTGGAGGGAAAAAAGCGGACGACCCGGAGAAAACCCCACGCGTCCATGGGGAGAACACGCAACACCACAAACATACAGCAGCATGCGTCAGGGTCGGGTTCGAACCCAGGTCCTCCTGTATACCAGGCGAGGTAGTAGACATCTCATAGCCACCGTGATGATGATAAAGAGAGAGAAGCAAACTCCAATAATACAGCAGGCGTCAGGGTCGGGTTCGAACCCAAGTCCTCCTGTATACCAGGCGAGGTAATAAACACCTCGCCACCGTGGCTCTCACATAATGGTGAAGTATGGCTGTGGTGGTGGTGGCGGGTTTAACGACACATTAACATTTACGCGATCAAACCCAACAGAAAAAAAACCAACAACAACCTTCATTACGTCAAAAATACTTTTTGTTTACCATCGATCGTTTCTTCCTGTGCCTCTGCATGCAAGGGACTGCATTCCCAACGTGCCGGCCGACACGAAGCTGTCCAAGATCAAGACCCTGCGGCTGGCCACCAGCTACATCGCCTACCTCATGGAGGTGCTGGCTCGGGGGCCCTCCTCGGCCGGCGAGAACGCGGCAGACGCCCCAGCGTTCCGTGCCGAGCTGCGGCGAGCGGACGGCAGGGACGAGCGCAGGCGGAGACAGCTGGTAGCGCACGCGAACACGCTTCATACGTCGTCTGTGTGTGTGTGTGTACCTGTGTTGATGTAGAGGCCTGGCCTGGCACAAGCGTCGTGGTGATGTCACCGCCACTTAGCGGCGAATGGCGTTTGTTGTTGTTGTTATGTAGAAGCACGGCGTTGGCGTGATGTGAACGCCTCTAGATGCACTGCAGGGTTTTTCTGTTCTCGTGTACTGCCGTGTACTGTGTGTGTGATAGGTACGGTCACGTGACCGGGAGTAGAGTCAGGATCTCAGAAGCTAAGCAGACGTTGAGCCTGGATAGTGCTTAGAGATGGGCGGGCGACCTCCACTTATAAGTTAACATCTATGCCACGGTGGCTAGGAGATGTTAACTACCTCGCTCGGTGTACAGGAGGTCGTGGGTTCGATCCCGACACTGACGCCTGCTGCTGTGTATTTGGAGTTTGCGGTGTCTCTCTCTCCCCGTGGTCGGGTGGATTTTTGTCCTGGTTTTTTTTCCCTCCGCGTTTAGAATTAACGTCACGCGTTTAGAGTTATTTGGCTGCTATAAATTTGCACGTGATGATAAGCCACTTCGTTGAGCTTTCATTTGTGGCCAGGTCGCTTCTGAGCTACATAGCTCAGTGGGCCTTACCTGGTAAAATAAAATAGTTTTAGTTGAGTTTGTAGCTAGGGGTTGCAGGTGCGAGGGTGAGAGGTGGATTTTCCCCAGGATCTCCGGGGCCATCCCACACAGAGACCGACTCTCGTTTGTGGGATCCATGGCCAAGTATCCCAATGTAGCAGGACGCTCGTGGCAACGAATTTTGAGACTCGGTGAGGCTCTTATTTCCTGCATGGGTAAATGAACGACATCACCATCGTTATCACGACGACGACGATGATTGATCGTCGTGAGAGAGAAAAAAACCACGGAATCACACCGTGTCAACCCACGTGGTTTACCCCGTAGTCGTGTACAGGGAAATTCAGTTTTCAGGTCCATACGGCATGCAGCCGTTCCAATAGGGCTCATTTTATAGTGTAGTGTAATGTATAATGTAGTGTTTAGGGTAGTGTAGTGTATAGTAGTGTAGTGTGTATAGTAGTGTAGTGTATAGTAGTGTAGTGTATAGTAGTGTAGTGTGTATAGTAGTGTAGTGTACAGTAGCAAACCTGTCAACCCACACGGTTTAACACTGTATTCTTGTGCAGGGAAATGAAGTTTTCATGTCTATACGGCGTACATCCGTTTCAATACGGGCAAAAAAAATATGTCTATTTGTGTTTCTCCTTTGTGATGGGACTTTGTAGGATTAACCTTGAGATTTATAAAGGGCACGGGGTGACCAATAAGGTCTGAGTTGGTATTTAGTAAGGTAGGGCACTGATAAGGGGTTGACAGGTATGTTGAATAACTATTCAAACAGGAAATCTGGCACGCTCGCTCGCATAACGCTCCCGAACAACGAATTTCTCGAGATCTCGGCGGAGGCCGCCTGTTCTGGGTGAAAACCAAAATAAGAATTAACATCCCAAGGACTATTCGCCGCGGGATTTTAAACATTAACAAACCCCCCCCCCCAAACCCGCTCAACTTCTGGATGCTCTCGGCTGTAACGCCCGAGAGCGATTTTGTTTCCAGAATAAACGAGCGGACGCCTCGCCACCGCCACTCCCCGTGCGAACATTTGATCGGGAGCCGAGGCGCGTCTCCTTCCCCCCCAACGCTATCACCACCACCGCCGCCACCACCACCACGTGCAAAAACAAAAACCTCCATCGAAGCAGCCCAGGGAAGAAATTCTCGAGGCGGAAACAACCGAGGGGCTTCACGCGGCTCGCCGCAGCGGGGCACGAGGTGGGGGCTCAATCGACGTGGCGCCGATTGAGTCGATGTCGTGCGGTGGCGGTAGTAGTAGGAATAATAATAATAAAGAAGAACTGCACTGACGGTGCCCCGCTTTTTACCACGCAATGCTTTCCAGGAAAATTGGGGGTGGGTGTGGGGGGGGGGGCGTCGTTAACGGGAGAGAGCCCGCACTGCCCTAGTAACTTAGCGGCACGCAATGTACTTCTAGACGTGACCGGCACGTCCTGCCAGCCAGCCAGCAAAACTTTTTTTTAAAAAAAATATATGGTATGGCATTTTCTTTGTTCTCTTTAATTAATTTCGTGCAGTTTATCGTCCCATTTACCTATATTTATAAATGTTTTAGATCAGTTTGCTGGCCGAGTATTTTGCGCGGGATATGCAGGCCGGGTTGAAAGGGGGGGGGGAGGGTGTGTGGGGGGTGACGTCAGCACGCACGAACCCGGCTCCACGCTTTGGACGCGGTGACGTCATCACGCAGATGTGCGCGGATTGGTGCGTCAGCCAGGAAGCCAGCCAGCCAGCAAAACTTTTTTCTTTTTAAGTATACAGTTCAATGATGATAATGAGATGTTACAGCCCTTTGTCAATCCATTCACAAAGGGCTGTGTGTCGGTCAACGACCATTGCTTGCGTGCAAATATAACCCAAAGTATATAATCACCCAAAGTATATAATAAGTTAATAACCCAAAGTATATAATAATAATCCGGTCTAAATATCAAATAGCGCTCCTGCTGGTGACGCGCTGCACCATGATACCACGACACATCGTCCAGCGTCCAGTGTGTCCATGTGTGTATCGGTATTCATAGGTACTCCCGGCAGCACTTGCCCGGACACATCGGATGCAGGCTATAACGGGGATCTTCGTCTTTGTGAGTGTGCGTACCAAGCTTACGGCCGAACGTGGTGCTGACCGCCCACCCCCTCGTGCACCGTGCCGGCCTTCAAAAGTGCTCGCTAACGGCGCGTGCCCCAACAGTCTGTTGAAGGCTAAACGGGGGACCTTTGTCTTTGTGTGTAAGGGGAGCGGTGGTGCAGGTGGATAAGCACAGTGCGCTTACAATGCACGGCCACGGGAGTTCCATTCCACCCCACGGTCAATAAGCAGTGCCGGATTATCCTGGTAGCACAAGCAGCTACATGTGTAGCAGCTACATGTGTAGCAGCTACATGTGTAGCAGCTACATGTGTAGCAGCTACATGTGTAGCAGCTACATGTGTAGCAGCTACATGTGTAGCAGCTACATGTGTAGCAGCTACATGTGTAGCCCCGCGCTAAATTATTTCAAGCTATCAATTCTGGTTCAGTGATTCTGCACTTGCTCGATAACTATAGTACTATACCGCCTTCAACTTTTATGAACGACTGGGTGTTTAAGGTTAGCGATTTGTCGTATTATCTGGCTGTATAGCAAATGAAAAAACAATATTACTTTACTATGCAAGTAAAAAGATGTGTTTGAATATTTGTGTTTTTTAGGGCCCCTTTATAACATTTGCTACAGGCCCCGCGCTAGCTTAATCCGGCACTGACAACAACAGTGGCGAATAATAATTGCACCAGTCCTGGGCTCTTCCCTAGGTCGCCTCCGCCATAAATCTGTGCCGTGGTGCGGTGTGTTCTAATCGCGAGACAACGGAGGCCGGGCGTGGTGTTGGCCACCAACCCCATCTCGTGCACAGCCGCCTGTCGCAGCAGTCTCGTCGAAAAGGCGACACGGGGGGATCTCCGTGCGTGCGTGCGCGCGCGCATTAAAGAGGCGAACCACTCCCCCCCCCCCCTAACGTGAAACACATTGGAGATGACCGGGCGCAGATTACGCACCAAGGCTCCTCCCCCATACTTCACCTCGCCCTCTCTCGCTCATACAAAGACAAAGATTCCCCCCAACCTCCCTTCTCCCCAGTATAGCCTGTTACAGATTGTTACAGATTGTTGGGTCAAGTGCTGTTAGCGAGCACCTATGAAGGCCGGCACGGCACACGAGGGGGTGGGGTGGCGATGTTTACTACACATCGCACCAGGTACTCATTTGAAGCTGAGTCGACCTAGGGTAGGCCCCGGACCGGTTCAGAAAATCGTTACCGATTTCGGCCGTGAGCGGCAATCGAACTCGGGTTGGCGGGTTCGTAGCGCAGCGCGCTAACCGCTACACTACCGCTCCGCACACGAAACACACACACGCACCACACACACACACGTACGCAGGCAATCCCCATTCGCTCGCTCGCTCTCTCTCTCTCTCCCCGTCTCTGGCTGCCGGGGGGAAGGGGGGTGCCGAGGAACAGTTCAGTTGCTGCTGCTGTTGCTGGCGGCTCGCACTTTGCGAGAGTTCGCGCGGAGCAGGATGAAACGCGCTGCCCTGTCACGTCCGAGAGGCGTCCTCCTCTGCGTGGCCGCTTCTGACACTCGTGGCCCTACGCTCTGGCGATAATGAGATGCACATGGAGTAGCAAAGAGAGAGAGAGGGAGTGGGAGAGCGTGGGAGGAGAGAGAGAGGGCAAGAACGTTGAGGGAGGGGGAGATGAGACAGGAGGAGGAGGAAGGTTGGTGGTGGTGGTGGGGATTAGAGGAGAGAAGCGAAGACCCGGGAGGCGATGAGAGGAGGATGGCAGGGGGGAACGTAGAGTGGAACGGAGAGCGGAATGGAGACAGAGCGTGGGGGAAGAGGATTGAGGAGGGAGACGTGAGCGGGAGAGAGGGGAGGCGAGAGGGGAAAGGAGAGCGGAGGAGAGAGGGGGCGAGGGGGAAAGAGAAGAGGAGGAGAGGGTCGCTGGTTATGGATATAATTTCGCCTCGGGTTCGATTCTCAGAAGGCGCGTTGGAGCTAATAACGAACTCTGCGTGTTGAACTTCTTTCGCGCCGTACGTAGCCGACCCGCGTTAATCGGACAATACAGATCGCAGACCCTTCGCCGATCGGCTACAGGATAAACGACTTCCCACGTCGTGTCGACCATTGGGGGTTGTTTGACCATACTTCACCACGTTTGACAATACGAGTGGGTGAAGCGGTGGGGGCGTGCTGGGTTAGTCCAGAGACATTGCCCGCCGCTGGTGCCAGCTGTGGCTGAGAATTGAACGCAGATTGTAAACTCATTTATTTAGAACTGCTTTTTTGTTTTTAGTCTGTTCTTCTTCCTC